ATCGCCGAACTCGTGGTACTGCAATGCTATCTGGTGGGCATCAATCAAAGACGCCAAGCATGACACTTCAAAGCCAGTGGTGCTTTTGTTCGGTTCCATGGCATACTTTATCCTGGTGCGCAGCCGCTCGACCACGCATGCATCTATCACAGCGGCGCGGCGCTCCCCCTCGCGCTCCCGCTGGTCGGCCACGTCGAACATCATGTGGTGCTTCGGCAGGGTGTTCTCTGTGCCGTGCGCCTTTTTATGCTGTCGAGTGTGCTCGGCGTGGGCCCGCCGCAGCCGCGCAGCCCTTTTGCGCGAGTCCACGCGCCCCTGCTTTACCGCGCAGTTCGCGTCCAGCGTCGCGCACGCGGCTTGGAACGAGGCAGCCTGTTTGTCGAGCGCCGCGTCGAGAAGGTGCGGCTCCGCGAGATGCCTTGCGAGCTTGCGCGAGGAGGAGGAGGGGGGGGTGCGGCGGGGGGGAGGACAAGCTCGGTGCGCTCGCATCATCTCTGACGTCCTACCCCTCCCTCCCATCCCTTACCATGGCGCTGATTTTCTCTATCCGCGGACGCGTGTCGTAGCGGACCTGTGGCTCCGCGCGCGCGTGCGTAATGGGTGGTGGTGCGCGTGCGTGCGTTCGTGCGTGTGTGCGTGGTTGTGGTGGTGGTGGTGGTGGTGGTGGTGGTGGTGGTGGTGGTGGTGGTGGTGGTGGTGGTGGTGGTGGTGGTGGTGGTGGTGCGGCGCGGTGGTGGCGGGCGGATGGGCGCGCGAGAAGGAGGCCCGCGCTGGGGCGAGAACGCCATCCTGAACGACGGAGGCCAAACACCGATCCGAAAATGAGGCCCACGCTGCAGCGGGAGCACGATTCGGAACGATTCGGGAGCAGAAATGAGGCCGGCGCCTGAGCGAGAGCAGCATTTTGCAAAAAAAACGCAGGCGAAAACCCGTTTCCCGGGAATCCTGTGTGTAAAAAAACAGTGCGCGGGGGGGGTCGGATATCTTCGGGACGCCATCAGGGGAAGTGGGGGGGTATTTTCATATTGTGTAATTGTTGAGGAGGAGGAGGAGGCAGGGGAGGGGGGGGGGAGGAGAAGGAGGCGAGAGAAGGAAAGAGGAGGATGATGAGGTAAGAGAAGAAGGCAGTTAGCCTCAGACTCGCACGCATGCCAAGGAGCTCTGGCGCAGAGGCCCTGATCTTGTCCTCCCTCGGGGCGCGGCGCTCGTCGAATATCCCGTGCAACTCTTTCGATTTCGCCTTCCCCCATGCAGGGGGCATCCACCCGTCCTTCATGTGCTCTCGGAGATCCTCGAAGGTGACGTCCAGCGTCTCCCCGCGCGCCTGCGCCAGCATGTGAGCTTCCATGGTGAGTGCTGATTCTTGCAATTCCGTGTGAACTCAATCGATGGCAATGCTGCCCGCTACGTCCACATGGGGGCGCGATTCAGCGCCCAGCAGGATGCCGTGGGGCGCGGGCGTGAACCCGCACGTCATTTGCAGTTTTTTCGAAGCGGTCCTTTGTCATTAACCGTGCAGTTCACCGAGCACGTGCCGCGGTGGCAATGTCAGGAGCAGCGAACACATCTGCACTGGTATGCAATCGGACCCGCGTCGGGTCTGCACAAGAAACTTCAACGAAGTTTGCTAGGTCCAAGTCAGCCGTGCCTGAGTTTTTCTGGAGCACGTTGCGACGTCGCAAGCACGGCCTGAAGTCATTGGCACCGTTGCTGTTCAACGACATGCGGTGGCCATCGAGATCGGCGATCATGAACTCGATGCGTGCGATGATGAGAGCGCCCCTGCCGAAGACAGTAATAGGGGCGCCTGCCGTTGCAAGGCCAGTCGCAGACAGCAGGTGCAGCTTCAGGTACTTGGTAAACGTGGCTCCCCAGCCGCCCTGGATCTGCTTGAGCCAGCTGTGGCAAACAACCGCAGGTGTGAACCATTCGTTGTCAGTGCGAATGTTGTGCACTCCAAACTCCGGGAACGTGAGCGATGAGTTCATGCTCTTCCTGCAGTCGGCGACGCTGAACATGCCGCCAGGGCTCAACTCATCATGCCCGATAGCCAGTGTCCACGGGCGCTCCTGGCTCGGAGCACCGCGTCGCGACAGCGCGGCCGCGAACAACTCTTGCAGCGCTCGGCTTTCCGATGCCGTCATGGAGAGGAGTTTGTTGGGCTCCGCCATGGGCCAGTTCGAGCTTCCTCCGTTCGCCGGCGGCGTGGCCAACTCGTGGTGGACGCGTCCAAACCGTTCATGGTTCGTCCTGTTGATCTCCTTCTCCGATGCCTCGGCGGGTAAATCGGGCGCCACCTCGCGAAACGTCCGCGCAATCTTCGCGGGCCCCTGCTGCGTCGCGCGTCCGCGATGGATGAGCTTTTGCAGCGCATCTCATTCCCGATCGACCCTCAGGGGGGGTGGTGGGGCAAGCTGGGTGCGGTCGCGTCATATCTGACATCCTACCCCTCCCTCCCATCCCTTACCATGGCGTAGATCCCCTCTCTACTCGCACAGTCGGATGTCGAGCAGGGCAATGATCCCGAAAGGGTACGCGATGCATTGTAGAGCACGGAATGGCATGGCGTAGAAGAGCACCGCAAAGCGTAGTATCAACTAGCATTGCGTTTGCATGCCGTGGCATGGCAGCGGGAAAATGACGCCAGCGCTGCAGCGGGAGCACGAGGTCGGAACGAGCGGAAGCGCGAAAAGAGGGCCATCGCGCAGCGGGAGCACGATTCGAATCCGGGCGGAAGCACGGAAATGAGGCAGCGCTGCAGCGGAGCAACGATTCTGAACGAGCGGGGCCCGAAAATGAGGCCGGCGCCTCAGCGAAGCAGCAATTTGGGGAACAAATGCAGGCGACAACTCAACTCCCGGGGAATCCTGTGTTTAAAGAAACATGTTAAAGAAAAAGCAATACGGGGGGGGGCTAATTTTTCAAGCCGTCATCGGGGAAGAAGGAGCGTAGGATTCATACTGAGTTAGTGGAGGGGGAGGGGGGGAAACGGAAAGAGGGGGCGGGGGAGAGGGGGAGGGCAAGCTAGGTGCGCTCGCGTCATATCTGACGTCCTACCCCTCCCTCCCATCCCTTACCATGGCGCTGATTTTCTCTATCCGCGGACGCGTGTCGTAGCGGACCAAGCTAGGTGCGCTCGCGTCATATCTGACGTCCTACCCCTCCCTCCCATCCCTTACCATGGCGCTGATTTTCTCTATCCGCGGACGCGTGTCGTAGCGGACCTGTGGCTCCACGCGCGCGTGCGTAGTGGATGGTAGTGCAAGTGCTTGTGTGCGTGCGTGCGTGTGTGCGTGGTTGTCGTGGTGGTGGTGGTGGTGGTGGTGGTAGTGGTGGTGGTGGTGGTGGTGGTGGTGCTGGTGATGGTGGTGGTGGTGGTGCTGGTGGTGGTGGTGGTGGTGCTGGTGGTGGTGGTGTTGGTACTGGTGCTGGTGCTGGTGGTGGTTGTGGTGGTGGTGGTGGTGGTGGTGGCGGTGCGGCGCGGTGGTGGCGGGCGGATAGGCGCGCGAGAAAAAAGCCCGCGCTGGGGCGAGAACGCCATCCTGAACGACGGAGGCCAAACACCGATCCGAAAATGAGGCACACGCTGCAGCGGGAGCACGATTCGGAACGATTCGGGAGCAGAAATGAGGCCGGTGCCCCAACGAGAGCAGCATTTTGGGAAAAAGTGACGCCGGCGCCTCAGCGAGAGTCGTTTCCCGGGATTTCCCGGGCATCTTGTGTGTAAAAAACAGTACGCGGAGGGTGCGCGGCCATCACCCGGACGCCATCAGGGGAAGAGGGAGAGTATATTCATATTGAGTAATTGTTGAGGACGGGGCCTCGATCGAGAGCGACGACGGGTGCCCTTCGGCGACGTGCCGCTGGAGCGCAAGCGCTGCGGCGCTGGAGGGCCATGCCACCGCGCCCCTTGCGCGCTGTTGGGGCGCGGACGCTTGAGCCAGGAAACGGCTACGGACAGGAACGGCTCGAGGCGCTGAATGTGGCTGGGGCAGCGCAAGCGCTGGGTGCGGGAGGAACAGCGCAAACGCTGGAGGAGGGAGGAACACAAAGCGCTGGAGGAGGGAGGAGCAGCGCAAACGCTGGTGGGGGGGAACAGCGCAAACGCTGGAGGGGGAGGAGCAGCGCAAAGCGCTGGAGGAGGGAGAAGCAGCGCAAAGCGCTGGAAGAGGGAGGAGCAGCGCAAGCGCTAATGGGCAAACAGCGCAAGCGCTGGAGGGGAGAGGAGCAGCGCAAAGCGCTGGAAGGGGGGAGCAACAGCGCAAAGCGCTGGAGGAGGGAGGAGCAGCGCAAGCGCTGGCGGGGGAACAACGCATGCGCTGGGGGGAGGAGCAGCGCAACACGCTGGAGGGAGGAGGAGCAGCGCAAAGCGCTGGATAGAGCCAAGCAACATGAAAAACATGAACAGCGCAAGCGCTTGCAACGCAAAACGCCAGAGAAACAAACAAATGCAACACTATGGGGGGGGGGTGGGGGCATACATCACGCATAAAAAACATAGAAGTTCACTCCAAAACGTATTTTCCCTATCTTCAACCGGTGTACAAACCGTTCCAACAACCCAAACCCTATCTTCTGTATCTTACACAACTCCAGCCGTCGAAGATATGGAACATTTGGCAGATCAACTCAAGACCTGGAATATTAACTTACTATGTGGTGTATTAGCTTAAGACCACCTACCAGAACTTGATTATATCTATCATATAATTTTGAGACGATATCAGTGGGACCACCGCCGGAACTTCCTCCAAAGCCACCCTCTGGGACCGCCTGCCAGGACCTCCCCTCGGATTCCGCCCCACCCCTAGCGTGGGAGGGATCAAAGGGAAGGGGCTTCCCTTCGACTCGATTACGACGTTGCTCGATTTCCCTCTGGCCCGATCGCGAACGGCGACGACGACGACTCTGAGAGAGCAGCCGCTCACACATGCGGGCAGGGTCGGCGGATGTTTCCATCCGCAGCATCGAGCACAACATGCCAAATGCCAACTTTTCCCAGCCAATCTGGACCGAGCAGTGTAGCCCAAGCGATTTGATCTCAAGCCGACTGCACCTACTTTTTTTACGGCTTCTTCCTCTTTACACACATGGCCTCGTCAGCGGGGTGCGGTCCGTCTCAGTGGGTCAACAGTGTCATTTCCAACGCCACCTGCAACGATAGCGGCTTCTCCGGCCCGCCTGGAACATGCAGGGGCGACAGTCAGGGTGTCCGCATGGCCGCGTCATCGACGGATACTTTCAGGCCCGGCGTGCACTCGCAGCCCCCCATGCAGGCGCCCCCCGCGCAGGAGATGGACGCGGAGTTCTGGGAGACCGACGACGAGTTCGACCACCCGCGCAGCATCGCGACGGCGGCAAGCTCGCGAGGCGGCTGCGCGCCCGACAGCGCGCAGGGCGCCGCCCGGCCGGCATCAGACCCGCGGCCGCCGCCGCTGCCCGGAGGCGCGCCGCTGCTCCACGGCGCCGCGCGCCCCGTGCACGGCGGCCGCGCTGCTCCACCGCGGCCGCCCGGCGTGCGGCTGCGCCCCGCCGCCAGGCTGAAGTCGGGCCTGTCCCTCTACATTTTTTTTTTGTTGTTGTTGTTTTTTTTGTTGTTGTTGTTGTTGTTGTTGTTTTGTTTTTGTTTTTGTTTTTGTTTTTGTTTTTGTTGTTGTTGTTTTGTTGTTGTTGTTGTTGTTGTTGTTGTTGTTGTTGTTGTTGTTGTTGTTGTTGTTGTTGTTGTTGTAAAAAAGCAGTTAAGACACGTTCAAAAACAGTTAAGACACGTTCTGGGGACGACTGTTGTTGACAACCCTTGAGTCTCTTGGAGCTGTTTTTGACCGTTTGTCCTTTTTCGCCCAGGCTCCGCCTGTGGGGGGGGGGGACGTGCCCGAGCTAACGCCAGGCCGCAGCAGCAGCAGACGGGGCCTCCAGGCGACTGGTCCTCGCAGTGGCGGGCCCCTGCCCACGCCGGGGGCGAGGCGGCGCCCGAGGCGCGCGGCCTGGGCCGCGGCCGCAGCGCGAGGCCTCCGGCCTGGGGAAGGCCGGCGGGGGCCTGCGGCGGCGAGCGCGCGTCCGCGGGGACGCCGGAGGAACGGCGGGTGGAGCAGAGGCTCGGATGAGTCGGGGGTGGACAGACCTCCTACCCTGACACGTCGAGTAAGGAATTGGCCGTTTTCGGTTCGCGAGAGGGCGTCGCGGCCGTCGTCTTTGCGGGTCCAGGTCCGTCGGTGTCGGTCCCAGGCCGTTTTCACTAAGGGGAGGTTTACTAAAGGGAGGTTGGTCCATCCCCGAATGAGGAAAAGCTGCAGATGCCGTTGTCCTTCCCTCGATTCTCCTTTTTTGGGGGCTTCCCGGGCGGCCTTCGTCGCCACCGCTGGATTCGCCTCGAAGTTCTGGTCAGGAGGCACCCTGGGAGAGGTTCGGGGAGTACTCCAGATTTCGTAATAAAAGGGAGGGGGTCTGGACCCTCCAAGACAAGCCATTTCAGACCTCCCCCGTGGGAGAACCCTCCAAAACACCGTCCCCAGACCCCCCAGGCAAGATAGCCTGGAAGAGACCCCCCCCGAAATGAGACCCCCCGCCCTTTATTACGAAATCTGGAGTACCTCTTGGTTTCCCCAGAGGCGGCAGCTGCCCGAGCGGAGGGCCGGCGTGGTGGGGCTGGAGCTCCAGCGGAGTGGCGCGCCGTCGCCAGCCGAGGGCGCCGCGCTCGCCGCCCCAGACTCTGGACGCCCGAAATGGGTCCTGAAAGAATGGGTACTATGCCCAACTGCAGGTCCTGTTCATTTTGAGCAGGATTTGCTGTCCACGCCGCCGCGGCCTGTGCCCATTTGAGACAGAGGGCCGCCTGCCCAACAGCGGCCGCTGTTGGTTTGGGAGAACATTTGCTGTTGGGCATTGTACCCATTTGTTCGGTACCCGTTTCGGGCGTCCAAACAGACGCTCGAGCTACCACCACGCTCGTGATCAGAAATATCCCCATGGACACGACGCAGAGAGATCTGCTTGATCTCATCGACAGGACCGGCTTCGCGAACCGATACGACTTCGTCTACATGCCGACGGATTTCGACGCGGGGACCGCCAGGGGGCACGCTTTCGTAAATTTCGCCACCCCCAGTGTCGCTCGCGATTTCTTCACCATGTGGAACGGATCGAAGCTAGTCATTGCTGGAGCTACCTCGCCCATGCTCGAGATCAGTGCGTCGGCGCTGCAGGGCTACTCAGAGAACGCAGATAGGTGGAAGGCAAGCCGGCTGCGCCGCACGAGGAACCCCGAGCACCGCCCCTTTATCGCCGAGAGGCCGGCTGCCGAGTAGACGTTCCCTCTGTCAATGAGGCCTGTCGGCCGACAAGGGCAGCTCGGGGGGCGGGCATGGAGGGGAGCTGGGCTGGGAGCCGAGCAACGCGCCCCCAGAGCGCTCCGACAGGTGTCTCACACGCGTGGTGGTGACTCTTCTTCATTGCGCTGATACCAATCCGCCACTTGCATCAGTCTGATCTGCAACATTTGTGTTCCATGCCTCTCCCAGCGGCTTGATCACTGCCCTGATATTTTCCACCTCAGCAGTTCCATGCCTCGAGGCGTTGTCAATCTTATCTCGCCCCCCCAGATGGCTCCGCGTCCTCGTGAATATTATTCGTTGCGCTGATACCATGCGTTTCCATGCATCAGTATGATCTGCTACAGTTGTTTTTGCATTAGTGTGTGATCACTGCCCTGATCGGTTTCACCTTAGCATGTTCATGCCTGACAAGCTCACTGTGTATGCGGCTCGAGCGGGAAGGGGGATGGAACCGAACCGGGTAGGGGAGGGCCACGATCGCGAGAGGAGGACGAGGAGGAGGAGGATGATGAGGAAGACGAGGTGGACGACGACGACGACGAGGAGCAGGAGGAGGAGGAGGAGGAGGAGGAGGAGGAGGAGGAAGATACCGCGCGGCGCCTCGCCCTGGAGCGCTTCGGTTGGCGGCGCCACGCCGACTCGACCACGAGCTGGGCCCACCAGCTAGGCAGGCAGCCTGGCCGAGCTGGGCGAGCCGTGCCACCGGGGAGCTGCTCGCAATCGCGCTCGCGCGCAGTGGCGTTCCTTGACTGAGATACCGTATTTGCTTCGCCTTTCCAGGGGAGTCCAGGTGCCCCGGAGGTAACAGCGCTCGTTCGGCGGCTGGCAAGCTCACTGTGTAGACGGCTCGGGGGGAGGGGATGGGGAGGAGCTGGGCTGGGAAAGGTGGAGAGATTAGGGGATGGGGAGGGGGAGGAGGAGGAGGAGGATGAGGATGAGGTGGAGGAGGAGGAGTAAGAATGACATGACGAAGACGAACGATACTATTACGATAAAGAAGTATTCGTACGAGAAAACTGAAGGAGGCGAGTAATACTAACACTACTAAGAAGATCAATCATATGGCAACTGATAACAGTGTAAATTCTGATACTAAGTACCAATCAACTAATAACAATTGTACTACTAATAATTAGTCAACACATTCTTACTACTAAGGGTAGTAATCAGTAGGAGGAGGAGGAGGAGGAGAGGAGGAGGAGGAGGAAGAGGCGGAGGAGGAGGAGGAGGAGGAGGAGGAGGAGGTGGACGACGACGTGGAGAAGGTGCCGCTTCGATTGGCGGCGCTTCGCCGACTCGACCACGAGGTGGGCTCACAAGCCAGGCAGGCAGCCTGGCCGAGCTGGGCGAGCCGTGCCACCGGGGGGCTGCTCGCAGTCGCGCTCGCGCGCGTGTTGCACCCCTCGGGGCACTCTGCTTGCCAGACTCAGACGAGGGTCAGTCGAGACAACCGCGGCCCTCCATAGCGACGTGTTTTTGCCTCATCAGTTCCATGCCCATTGTTTGAGTCGTGAGTGTTATCTCGGGCTCATTCCTTCCCTGAGATACCGCGTTCGTTTCGCCTTTCCAGGGGAGTCCAGGTGCCCCAGAGGTAACAGCGCTAATACCATTCCGCCGTTGGTTTTGCCTGAGCAGTTTCATGCCTCGCGGCGTCATCAATCTTATCTCGCGACCGCTGATGGCTCCGACCAACGTCTCACACGTGTGCTCGTGAATATTACTCGTTGCGCTGATACCATTCCGCTGCTTGCAATCTTATCTTCATTTTTGCCTTGGGGCCCCCTTCGCCTCTCCAGGGAAGTCCAGGTGCCCCAGAGGTAACTGCGCTCGTTCGGCGGCTGGCAAGCTCACTGTGTAGACGGATCGGGCGGAAAGTGGGATGAAGCGGAACTGGGTGGAAGGGGGATGAGGAAAGACGAGGTGGACGACGACGACGAGGAGCAGGAGGAGGAGGAGGAGGAAGATACCGCGCGGCGCCTCGCCCTGGAGCGCTTCGGTTGGTGGCGCCACGCCGACTCGACCACGAGCTGGGCCCACCAGCCAGGCAGGCAGCCTGGCCGAGCTGGGCGAGCCGTGCCACCGGGGAGCTGCTCGCAATCGCGCTCGCGCGCAGTGGCGTTCCTTGACTGAGATACCGTATTTGTTTCGCCTTTCCAGGGGAGTCCAGGTGCCCCGGAGGTAACAGCGCTCGTTCGGCGGCTGGCAAGCTCACTGTGTAGACGGCTCGGGGGGAGGGGATGGGGAGGAGCTGGGCTGGGAAAGGTGGAGAGATTAGGGGATGGGGAGGGGGAGGAGGAGGAGGAGGATGAGGATGAGGATGAGGTGGAGGAGGAGGAGTAATAATAACATGACGAAGAAGAACGATACTATTACGATAAAGAAGTATCCGTACGAGAAAACTGAAGGAGGCAAGTAATACTAATACTACTAAGAAGATCAATCATATGGCAACTGATAACAGTGTAAATTCTGATACTAAGTACCAATCAACTAATAACAATTGTACTACTAATAATTAGTCAACACATTCTTACTACTAAGGGTAGTAATCAGTAGGAGGAGGAGGAGGAGGAGAGGAGGAGGAGGAGGAAGAGGCGGAGGAGGAGGAGGAGGAGGAGGAGGAGGAGGTGGACGACGACGTGGAGAAGGTGCCGCTTCGATTGGCGGCG